GGGGTTGTATTGCTTCATTTTTTTGTTTGTTTGTTTGTTGTGTCATTTTTATTAATAATTTTATTGGGGCTCATACAATTCATCACAATCCATACATACATCAATGGTGTAAAGCACACTTATACATTTGTTGCCCTCATCATTCTCAAAATTCGCTTTCCGCTTGGGTTCCTGGAATTAGCTCCTCATTTTCCTTTTTCCCTTCCCCCTCACTCCCCGCTCCCCCCCTCCCTCGTGGACCCTTAATAATTTATAAATTATTATTATATCTTATCTTACACTGCCTGGCATCTCCCTTCACCCACCCTTCTGTTGCCCATCCCCCAGAGAGGAGGTTATATGTAGATCCTTGTGATTGATTCCTACTTTCTAACCCCCTTCCCTCCCAGTATTGCCACTGTCACCGCTGGTCCTGAGGGGTTCATCTGTCCTAGATTCCCTGTGTTCCCAGTTCCCATATGTACCGCTGTGCATCCTCTGGTCTAACCAGGTTTGCAAGGTAGAATTGAGATCATGGTAATTGGGGGGAGGAAGTGTTTAAAAACTAGAGGATGGTTGTGAGTTTCATTATTGCTATACTGAACCCTAAGTGACTCATCTCCTCCCCACTACCCCTCTGCAAGGTATGTCCAGTTGTCCACAGATGGGCATTGGGTCCCCATCACGCGCTACCCTCATTCACGATGATATGATTTTTCCGCCCCCGCCTTTGGTGCTTGAAGTCTGGTCCCTTCGGCCCTTCATGATCACACATGTTGGTGTGCTGCTTCCATGTGGGCTTTGTTGCTTCTGGGCTAGATGGCCGCTTGTTTACTTTCAAGTCTTTAAGTTCCCAGATACTATAGGTCTCAATAGCCGGGCACCACTAGCCTTCTTCACCACACTTACTTATGCACACATTCGTCTTCAGCGTTTATGTGGGGAAGGTGATCACACAACGATGGTTTCTATTCTTTGGTGTCTGCTACCTGATCCCTTCAACACCTCGTGTTCACACAGACTTGTGTGCTTCTTCTCTGTCGGCTTTGTTGTTTCCGAGCTAGATGGCCACTTGTCTGCCTTCAAGCCTTTAAGACCCCAGATGGTATATCTTTTGATAGCCAGTCACCATCAGCTTTCTTGACCACATTTGCTTATGCACACGTCTGTCTTCAGCGATCATGTCGGAAAGGTGGGTATCATGAAATGACTGTTTAGCTGAGCAAGGTGCTCTTGTATTAAGGGAATGCGCATGAGGAGGCCCAATGTCCACCTGCCACCCTACTACTGAACCTATAAATATATGCACTGAGGCCCATTTCCCCCATAATCTTAAATATATTTACATATTTACATGTCTGTATTTAGGCTCTATGTATGCCCTTTGCCTCCTACTCCTTTCCTCTGTTTCCTTATGCTTTCCTCCTGTCCCACTACCATGTTCAGCCTTCATTCTGGTTTCAGTAATTCCTCTCAGTTACATTGCCCGGTCACTCCCTACCAGTCCTCCCATCCCCTCCCTGCCATTGGTTTTGAACCACTTGTTTTTCCCTTGTCCCTGACTGGGACAACACCTCCTCCCTTCCCCGACCTCCCACACTCTCATGTCCCTCCGGGGCCATTGGTCCCTTTATTTTCTTCTCACATTTTTTCCCAGCCTCTCTTATCTAGGTGGACCTCCAGATATATTAATATTTGGGGATGGCTTTGACAGAACAGCACCAAAGTGGCACATAAGAACATGGCGACAGCAGCATCAGCACTGGCAAACTAACAAACAAAAAAGCCACTGACACACAAAATTTAAAAGAAGAGAAAAAAGGAAAACAAAACAAAACAAATAGGCAGGAAAAAAAGAGTTAAAAAAAGCCTGTTTGCAGTTCAAGGTCTGTTTGTTGACCTTTAGGAGTGTTTTCCGGATGAGTCTAATGGGGTGCCACGTCCTGGCCCAAAAGTCCATCATTTGTACTCCCTCAGGACCTCCATGCTCTGCTTCCTTGCCGCTCCATTGCAAGCCCCCAGTGTTTTGCCTCAGTGTAGTGTGGTCAGCTCAGTCACACATCCCACACTGTGTCTCCAGTGCTGTCCCGTATAGGGCCATGGGTCATTGCAGGATGTCGCATCTCACCATGGGGGCAACTATATGGTCCTCTCTGTACATTGGGCTCTCCGAGCTGGGCTATCGCCCTCTGAGCTTGGTGGGCCCAGGTGTGCTCCACTCCATTCTTCCGCCTTCCTTTGCTTCAGCTTCCTTCTGGGTGTAGTGTGGTAGGTCAGTTCCTTTCTCACACTAGACGATCGATTTCCATTTTCTGTGGTACTCCCTTCCATGGCAGGGGGTCGGGCTAATTCTGGTTAGGGCCGGCATACAGTCCAGTCTCTTTGTGAATTCCTCCACGCGTTACATTGCCCTCCTGGTTTGGCATGTCGTGATGGGGTCTGTATGCACTTTCCAGTTCTGTGGGAACACAACCAATACTCTCCCCCTGGATGGGCTAGTGCCCTGTTCCCCCTGTGCCATCAACTCAGTTTCTTCCCACCCTGCTTCTCCCTCCACTTGCCCCCGTTCCCCTTCTTTATGTTGGACTCTCATGTACCTCCCTAGGTGTGGCCTGCCCTCCCTCCAACTGTCTATGCTTCCACCCTTTTATTGAGAGATAGGTGTTTATTCTTCTATTCCTGGAGTGCTGATTGTACTTACCTCAGGGGACTCATGTTATACCTGTACTTTTGAGTTTTGGAGGTGATGTGATAAAGGCGCAGCCTTGAACTTGATAAATCTTTATACTTCTAAATGATTCAGAGCACTTTTTAGTGCTCCTTTTCCCTGGCCCACCCACTTCCAGAGCCCTACTTCTCTGTGTGGTCCAGAAAGTTCATAATTTGAGATAGGAGGAGGAGAGCAGTGATTAAGAATTTCTGTGACTCAATCAAGCCAGCCTCTTCCTAGAGCTCAGTCTCAGGAGTATGAGAGTTTCTCTTCTGCCTGGCAGAACTGTAGCCTAGGGTGAAGGTTGCTTTATCCTATGGTTTCTCCTTCACCTGTTTCCTGCTAAAATGATCTCAGATCTCAGGGAAGGCCCATCCTTTCCCTGCTCAATGGAATTATCTCACTGAGCTGACTCATTGCCAAGCACACTTCCTGCTCCCTCTCTATTCAGTATTTCTGAAGCTATTCCATTTTCATCCTTCCTGGCAGTGTCTTTAAAGGTTGGAAACAGCAAGTTCTGTCCAGGTCTTGCTATGCTGGGATTCCTAGATTCTCCCCCCAATTGCACACACACACACTGCAATTGCTAGCTGCCATTGAGTCAGGTCCAACTCATAGTAAGTTTGCGTACAATGAAACTTTACCAGGTCCTATGTCATTCTCACAATTGTCAGTGTGTTTGAGTCTGCCATTACGGCCATCTTGCTGAATGTCTCCCTAAATCTCACTGACCCTCGGATTCACCAAGCACGATGTCCACATTTAGTGATTGAGTCATCCTGATGACATGGACAATGCAAACATGGCCAACAGTGTTCTCTTGCGATCTACAAGGTTTTCACTAACAGAGTCTTAAAAGTAAATTTCTTCCAAAACTGTCAAAGTCTGAAAGTGATGCTGAAATCAGTTAGCATATCCCTGCTGTTAGCAACACACAAGCAGACAAACTGACAGATGGAAGATAACTAGGGACAGGAACAAAGCTGGGTGCTTTCATGAGGTCTCTGACTACAAGTCCACCTGGCAAAGCCCCTCTGGAACCTTCAGTGCATTGAAACCTCCCCTAAGGAGTCCTGCCCCCACATCATGAAATAGTGCTGTGCCCAAATACTCCCTAGAGTAAACCACCAAACATCCCCAGTGTTTTGCTCATTCCTACCTTGGGAAAAGTGCAATGAGGAAAATGGACTGTGAGTTAGGATGCTTTAGCTCTCAAGATAACACCACCCTGGGCCATGTGATCCTTACTAGAGCCATGCTTTCTATCCTCCTCAGGCCAGAACACCTGCCAGACCCTCTAGCACTAGACCTTCTCTACCACATGCATCAACCACAGAATTAGAAGTCCTGAACTCATCTCTTCCCATCCCCCCTCCATCTACCCAGAGTGCACACTTCTCCATGGGGCCCACACCACTGGCATCACAAACCCTCTGGGATAAGTACTAGCAGTCCACAGAGAGTTTATGAGACCTATACAGAACAGACTGGGTAAGTACAGGCTATCTCCTATAGCTCTGAGCTTAGTCAAACTCAGAAACTAAGGCATGGTAGCCAGATACACCATGTAACCTGTTGTGGATTACTGCATTCCTTGTGCTAACTGCCATGATATTAGGAATATCATCTTTTAAAGTTCGTATACCAATCTTCTGAAATAAGCATTATGAGTCCCAATTTTCAGAAAGGGAATGAGAGTCCAAAGAAACGACATGCCTTGCTGAAAGTCAGATTTAGGCAAGTAAATGAGGGAGTGGATTCTACAGGAGCAGTCTTCTCCCTGTTTCTATGTTGGTTTTCTTGGTTTACTTGGGATTTTCTGGGTCTTAAGTGCTATGGTTTCTATAATAGGAAGGATTTTTGGTATTATTTGTTTTCTGAATTCTTTGTTTCTATGGCCCAGGAGATGGAGCATATATCACCCCTGTCTCAAGATTCTTATGAACCGAGCTAGCAAGGAAATGAGCACATATCCTAATTGGGGGGCAATGACCCCATGGAGAATGTGGATGCTTGTCATGCTGTACTTCCCACCAACCCTGTATGTTTGTCAGATGTTTATAGAGCCATCATTAGTGGAGAGCAACATTAGATAAGGGCTCAAGCATGGCATCGGGGCCAGATAAATACAAGTGGAGGACACTTGGACTAAAGGCAGCAAGAGCCTGGGATAAGCGGGTCCAGCTGCCTCCAGAGCACTGCAGCTGTAAAAAGATGTGAAGCCACTCCCACAGTGCTCTTCCCTGCTCCAACTAACCCACCACAGGCCACCAGTCTGCAATTTTCAGCCTGGTGAGAGTGTCTTCCCAAGATGTACCCTGGGCCTTTGTGGGTAGCTTTGTCCATGTTCTCTCTCTTGGTTTGTTCTGTACAAGCAAAGCCACTGGAGACCTGGGGGCATGTGTCTGCTGGAGGCAATTCTCACAGCCTGCTGAGGGAGGCTCAAAGAAACCAGGATAGGGGCACTTTCGACCTGAAGATGTTTCTGGAGAATATGAAGGTGGACTTCCTGCGCAGCCTCAACCTGAGCAACGTTCCTTCCCAAAACAAAACCAGAGTGCAGCCACCACAATATATGATCGACTTATACAACAGGTACATCACTGACAAGTCGTCCACCCCAGACTCCAACATCGTGCGGAGCTTCAGTGTGGAAGGTAGTGTCAGCTCACTTTGGGGTGTCCTGGGGAGGGACTCATGGGTCCATAGTGGCACTACCCAATATGGTGGCCACTAGCCACACAAGGTTATTTAGGTCCAAATTTAAGGTACTTAAAATAAAATAAAGTTAAAAATGTAGTTCCTTCATTGCACAAGCTCAATGTGTAGTTTATGGCTGCTGTGTGGGAATAGTGTAGATTAATAATACATTGCATCTCTGCAGCGAGTTCTATTGGTCTATGCGGCTCTACAGCAGTCTCCTTCCTATGGCTCAGTGTCACAAATAACGCAGTAAGTGCCCAGGAAATCCCAGTTCCCTTTCTTTTGTTGTTTCCCTTCTCTTCTATCTACTACCTCCTACTTCCTCCATTCCCTTTGACCCTCTTCCCTTCCTTTACTTCTCTCCACTTCCCTTATTTTCTCTTCCCTTTCTCCTTCTCCCCTTCCTTCCCACCCTTTTCTTTCTTGTTCCATTTCTCCTTAGAAATAGATATTTATTTAACCCTGAACACACTGATATGTTTTCAAACTTTGGAAGCTTCTCTAACAAAATGATTTTAACATTTACATTCAGAAAAAATCCTTTCAGAGTAAAACTTTGGAGAATTTAAGTATATTTTATATTGTCGATTTGGTGGACTAGAAGGTGAAAAATAAGCAGCCCTATATTCATTACTCATGCCAGCCTTACAAAAGTAGGGTAAAATGATTTTCTGAAGCAGAGCTCCAAGGCTTATAGATACTGAAAGAACGTGCCCAAGGTCACATATTATTTAAGTAGCTGGGTTCTGACCCGGGCTCACCAAGGGTCAACAGGGGCTTTTGTTTTACCAAGTTTTCCTCTAAGCAATCAGAAGCTTGCCCTTCCTGGACTTAATACCTGGATGCCATGGCAGTACTTACTGAGTTTTAAATTAATATTCAGCCCTCAGATCGTGGGCTCCCTCTAATGGAGACTGTAGTCAGAATGCAGACCCAGTTGAAATAGGTTTTATAATTTTTCAGAAAAAGAAAGTCCCCCAAATGATGCTGCTAACACAGAGGGCACATCTGTGACCTGAGGTTTTTGTGGCTGAGTTTTTTGTTTAGGTCTAAATCCTCAAATCCCACAATTCTATGAGGGATTTTTTTTTTTCCTTTTGGAGCCACCTAGTGGCATCAGGGCCTCATGTGCAAGTCAGAAAGCACAGGATCAGAGCCCAGCAGTCTGAGCCAGCATTCTGTGCTTTCTGATTTGCGCATGTGGCCCTGATACCCCTAGGTGACTCCACAGAAGCCAAGGTGACTGAAAGAGAAGTGATTTTTTCCTAGGTGTTGACTGATACCCCAAAGCCATTTCAAGACATCACAAGTTATTAATGTATTTTTCATGGACCCCACTTTGCAAAAAAAAAAAAAAGGAAAGCAAAGAAAAGCATGGCCATCAAGTCAATTCCAACTCAAACCAAGCCAATCCACTGCCAATTCCTATTCATTGTGAATAGGGTTTGCAAAGTTTTTAAGCATCATGGGAACAGATAACCTCATCTTTCTCCCACAACGTATCTGATGGGCTTGCACTTTAGTCCAACACTTATCCAGCAACACCATCTACTGAGAGTTAGAGATATTTAAGTCATTTCCAAGGTCTCCTAGAGTACAGAGTCAGTATTGACCCTACAGTTGAGCAGATACTAAAGCATGCCTAGTTTTCAAAACAGCATAGTTTCCTGCCCATGTTGGGAAATGTAGTTTCTCCACAGAATGTGCTAATGACATGTGTTACCTCAGGAGAAGCAGAGGATAGAGATAATACAGGGATATTGGTGAAGCTCTGTTTTTGCCTGGAATTACAAAGGAATTGAGGAATTCAATGTATTTATTTCCTCAAAACGCTTTTTAAAATAATATATTTTCACTTTTCCTGAAACATTTATTTCTTGAACCATAAAGAATCTGAAATATTAATTAAATTAATGTTATTAACATTAGATCTCTGAAATAGTTAATTTTGTCTTAATGCTATTATTCCAAAGTCCCCTTCCATGAGTTCTTCAAATTCATAATCTCAAGATCTTCACTCTAGAGATGACAATGTGTTTTCCTGTTCGATTTAGTTTTGGATTTTTAACTGATGATACTTTTTGACATGTGCATGTTGTCAGTCAGATGTTCTGGGTCCCAATTTCCTCCTCTGTAAGATTGGAGTAATGAATAGATCCTCCCAACTTTGGTGTGAGAATGAAGCTGAAATGTATTATGTGAAGCTCCATGTGCAAAACCTCAGTCATAAAGAGTAGGAATTACCAACCCCAATTTAAGTTATCTCGCACCTTGAATGTGTCTTTCAAAATACTCTTCTAATTTAAGGGCATAAGTAAAAGCAATAGAAACTTAATAGACAAAAAGGTTTGTTTTTTTTAATCATTCTGGATACTCATTCATCCAAACCATGAAACTCAGCTTTGCTGTCATGACAATGGACCTTTCCAGGAGATAACCACCACTCTGTAATTCCATTTCAGATGCTGTCTCTTTAACTGCCACAGAAGACTTCCCCTTTCAGAAGCACATCTTGCTCTTCAACATCTCCATACCCAGGCACGAGCTTATCACGAGGGCTGAACTCCAACTCTACATCTCCTGTCAAAACCACAAGGACGCACCTCATGAGCTGAAAGGAAGCATGGCCATTTATGATGTTCTAGATGGAACAAATTACTGGGATTGTTCTTCAGGTACCAAGACATTTCTGGTGTCCCAGAACATTCGAGATGAAGGCTGGGAAACTTTTGAGGTCTCCAGTGCAGTGAGGCGGTGGGTCAGGGCAGACTCTTCCAAGAACAAAAATAAACTGGAGGTGATAGTGGAGAGTCACAGAAAAGGCTGTGACAAGCTGGATATCAGTGTTCCTCCAGGTTCCCAAAACCTTCCATTCTTTGTTGTCTTCTCTAATGATCGCAGCAATGGGACCAAGGAGACCAGGTTGGAGCTTAGGGAGATGATTGGCCATGAACAGGAGAATGTGCTCAAAAAGTTGCCTGAGAATAGTCTGCTGGATGGAGGTAAAGAAAAGGACAATGAAGAAAGAATGAACATTCACCTGGCCACAGGATCTTCTTTAGCCAGACAGAAAAGGAGCACTGGGGCTGGCAATCACTGTCAGAAGACCTCTTTACGGGTAAACTTTGAGGATATTGGCTGGGACAGTTGGATCATTGCGCCTAAGGAGTATGATGCATATGAGTGTAAAGGTGGTTGTTTCTTCCCCCTTGCTGATGATGTGACCCCAACGAAGCACGCTATTGTGCAGACCTTGGTGCATCTCAAGTTTCCCATGAAGGTTGGTAAAGCCTGCTGCGTACCTACCAAATTGAGCCCTATCTCAATACTCTACAAGGATGACATGGGGGTCCCCACTCTGAAGTACCACTATGAAGGCATGAGTGTAGCAGAGTGTGGGTGTAGGTAGTGCCTTCTCATGCCATGCAGTGTTCTGGAAGGGTTTTAATTAGAGTAAAGTGAAGAGAGGCTGGAGAAGGGAGGGGCTTCCTAATGAGAGTTTCTGTATCACCCTAGGCAATGTTAGGGATGAAGTTAATCTACATGTCAGTCTGTAAAATGAAAGGAGAACCACATCTTCAAGGTTGGTTTCCTTCACACGTTCCCCGCTCAAAACACACACCACTGGTTTCAACTGAAGGGAAAGAAAAGGACACCTGGATGTGTGGGTGGGAGGGAAAGAGGAAGGACTGGAAGGATTATTGCGGCGGAAGAGGAGATGAGGAGAAAGAGATAGGGAAAACAATCCAGAATCAGCAGAAAATTGAGCAGAAATGTTCCAAAGTAGCATGACAGATCGGTGACATACAAAAATTTGAGAAAATTAAAGGGGTTGAAGAGGAATGGGTATATTCCAGTAATCTCAGGAGGTGAAAGGGAAAGGAATGAATGTATGCTCTACACAGATCATTTCACATATTTCTGATAACCCAGTGAGGTTGGCATTATGACCTCCAGTTTACAAATGCAAAAACTAAGATTAAGACAGGTAAAATAGCATCTGGGTTGGACATAATTCCAACTCAAGGCTGCTGGATTCCAAAGCCCACAATCTTCCCAGCTTCGTGATTACAGTTCATCATGCTACTTTGTTGCTATTGCACATTTGGAGGCAGGAGTGTTGAGGAAAGGCAGGGATGAGGCCCAATTGGAATGCAACAAAATGACTAGATTTTATGTTACTACCAGGGAATATTCAGAGCGTTTGTTCTGATACAGTAGCTAAATATTATTCATATTATCCTAGAGGCACTGAAAATAATCCCAAGCACCAATAAGGCATATTGGAGAGAATCCAGGTCCATAGCCCTCTAAGACACACTGTACATTGTGGTTAGAGTGACACTGGCCATTTTGCTTCTATGTCCAGTGCTCTTACTAACTCCTCCTAGTCCTAGGGTAGATACACTGTCATGGACTTGTAGGGAAGGGAGCCATTTATCCTGAGTTATGGACAGCCTACTGCAGCCTATCCAGCATAACAAACTCAACCAGCAAACACAACCTGAGCTTCTCCACTGAAAAGACTCCACAGGGAGATAGGGGCTGGATTTTGGATTCATTGGAATAAGTACATGCAAGGCATCTTGCTCTTACTTTGGTATTTGCATTGTCCCTGATTTTACTCCTTGGTCACATGTACTGAAGTGATAAGACCTCCAATCATTATGAGTAAGGACTCCTTGGCCTCCAAAGTCCTCCCATTTCTATTGGCTGGACTCTGTTCCACCAGTACTTGTTGGGTTTCTTGAGTAAATAATTTCAAAATGTTTGTTCCATCCCACCTCTCAGCTTGGGCCACAGAGCCAGGCTTTGGCTCCATGGACCTAGAGTAAGACAGTGCTTCCTCTGAGTTTCATCCTCTTCCCTGACTCTTATGGGCACACATGGAATGGAGTGGAGTGAAGAAGATTCTGGATGTAGTGAAGATTGTGTCTCATGATCCTTCTGACTGCTGGCCAGAGCACAGCCTACAAGAGACTTAGCAAGACCTGCACCATATCCCATGTGTGTTTGAATATGTACCTTTTTTAATGGCTTGTATTAAATTATTACATTGAGCTAACAAATAATGTTAACACAAATATGCTTCAGAACATGGCTGTTACCAGGATCACTGTGGTCTCTTCCAGAATTGTACCAGAAATGGGGATAGAAATTACTTAGTCAATTTTAACGGACAGTCTTCTCTTTTCCGAATCTCACTTGATACACAAATCTCACTTGTTAACACAACTCTGTAGTTTTCTTTCTTCCTGTGCACTGAGGCATTGGTTTTCCCATGAACTTGTCTGACTAGCTCCCTCCACTGGGCTTTCCTACACTTTATCTCCCACCTTGTTTCCTTTCATCCTACGCTCCACAATCTCGTCCCCTTCCCCTGCTCCCCTCCTTCATCTCCTTACGTCAGAAGCCCTGAAATGAACCCAGCTTGTAACTGGATACTCACAAATGAAGAAGCAGAGGGCTAGCTCTGGAAGAGCTTCCAGGTTCCATAGGGCAGAGGTATAACAAGGCTCACATATTGGGTGCTTTCCTGTACAGACAGCCCTGGTGGCAGAATTCTGGCCTTCAGCCTTGGCAACACTGAAAGACTTAAGGAGAAACAAGCAAGGCTTTGTCATCCTTTTACCTGCAGGGACACTGACCTGAGGAGTTTCTAGAATGCACACAGAATTGGCCTCTGAAACTACAACTTTGGCTTAATGCTCTGCTATTGAATTCTTGAGATTCTTGTCTTAAATATAAAACTCTAATTTTCTCTCGGCACTGAGTTCTGTACATTTTGTTTTGGGCAATCAATGCATGTGTGACAGGCATCTTGGTATCTCTGGATACCCCATCCTCTGGTGAGATAGGGAATCTGAGTTATGCTGCAGTTTGTTGGTTCCGGGGGATAAGAGACAGGACTCCCTTCTCCCCCAAATAATTAAAGTCCAAGGAACCTACACAAGTAGTTATAACCTATTCTATGAAGTCACTTTGAATCAGAATTGACTTGAGTTCGGGGTTTTGGAGAGGAGCCTTTTCCTATTATCACTGGTGCACATTCAGGAAGCCTAAGCGTCTCCCAGGTATGAACCGAACACCCTGAAGATACTTAGCAGTAAGAAGAGAGCCTATGACACTTATAAGAAAGCTTCTCAGGGTCCTTGGGAAAGTCAAAAGTAGTTCAGATTGTTAAGGAAGTGATAGCTGCACTCATTCCTTCCCCAACTCCTCCTGAGTCGTCATTGACCAGTATACCTGAAGAGACCAAGCATACAATAGGGACACAGTCAGCACTGATTATTTCTGTTGGGTTAAGCTGAACAGTACTTTTATTAATTTATTTTTTTAGTTGATACTTTATTTATATTTTGTCTTCTAATTGAAAAAGCAAACAGATTTCATATAGACCCTTTACCAAATAAATAAACAAATTCACTGTCATTGAATCGATTATGACTCATGGCAACCTTATAGGACAGCGTAGAACTGCCCCTGTGAGTTTTTGAGACTGTAAATCTTTTTACTGATGTCTTTCAAATCAGTTTATTAGAACCTCATCCAGACAACATATCATTCCATATTTCAATATATCAAACAGCATTCTACAATCGTTACTACTATCAGTTTCAACACATTTTCTTCCTTCTTGAACTTCTTGATATCAGCTCCCCCTTAGCCTCATTTCCCTTATTCCCCCAAGCAATCCTTATTCTTGTTATTACTCTATAGATTCACCCACCCTGTCTCAAATACCCAAGAAATAGAAAAACAAAAAATAACAAGGAGTCAAGAAGACTACCCACAATGGCAAAGTACAAGAGATAAACCCCAATATTAAAAAACCCAGAAAATATTATAAACCATGTCAAGCATAAAGTGTGTCAAAAGCGAGATCAAATAACAAGGATTTAACCATTCAAGTCATAATTTTCATTTAAATCTATCATCATCTCTCCAATACTCAATACCAGGTTATTCCCATCCCTCAATTATGGTTAGAGGGAAATCACCAGAGGCTTATTCCCTGCATAGATTCTGAAAATGTATTTTTAGCTCCCATGTCATCCACAACCTTCTGCAAACCAGAATGTTACAATTAAGCTCTGGTTCCCTCCTTCAGATTTGGGTTATATAATGTACAACCCTTCGATCGTGGATGTTGGTGTGCTTCTTCCATGTGGGCCTAGTTGACGTCTGACTTAGATGGCTACTTCTTTGAGAACAAGCTTTTAGGACTCCAGATGCTTTTCTTTCTGATAGTCAGGCACCATCTAATGTATTCACCACACTTTGCTATACCACCCATATCTTCCATGCTTCCTTCATGAGGGCTTGTATCCCGAAATGACACAAGAACTAATTGTTCTTAGATTGGAGCTAGGATTAAGTGTGAACCCCAAATCCGTTCCTGAATCTATGTTTCTGCCTCTGGTTCACTTTAGAGGCATCCTTGTCATTTTATGGTAGAGAATCTTACCAATCATCTCCTGGAGCATAAGGACCATAAACCTTCTGTTTATGGTGTCATTGATTATCCCATTGTAATAACTTTAAAACTCTATTCAGAAATGGAAAATGAATAAGTGTTGGCTAGCTAAAAATCCCCACTACATGGATTATTGACTTGTATAGAATAAATGCTATGTGTGACTGGATGTTATTTACACAAATAATGGGAGTTGATTGTCAGGCAAAACTTACAAGAATATTCATTGACAATGCCTCTTAATACAGTGAGTAGGGCATTGAAGTAGTAAGTAAATGCTAGTCCACCTACTGATAGGCCAGTACTCTTCCCATAGCAATCTCCTTCTTCAAACACTGTATAGTTTCAGTCTTGAGTCTTGAGGTTACAGGTGTGTTTGAAGAAGAGCCTAGTTCTCCTAGTAGGGTCTCTACATTGGATCCTTCTGGTATGACCATTGGCCTGTGTTGTGCACTTCAAAGATCCAGGGTTCAATGTCCCAGTATTATATGGCACACGGCCTAGATTCCCAGGGGATGTACTGAAAATAGGAACAATGTGGCTTATTTGAATCCTAGTACCAGGCATACTCCCCTCGTTGATTCCTTACAAGTATAGTCATTTCTCCCCAGCTAGGAAGTTTGTCCTCCCTATTTTTCTACCAACAGACATACACTTGTCTTCTCCAAGATGTATATGTTCCCTTTCCCACCTCCTGACATGATTTTCCCATCAAGATCCCTCATCACTCTGGTAGAAATGTCAGCCAGTATCGGGGGAAGGAACCCCATCACACCGTTGCATTGCAGCCACTAAATGGTCATCTTCTCCCTCTTCTGCAAAAATCTGATATCAGCTGATGTGAGGACCCCTCCACCAAAGTGATGTTCAAAATACACATATAGAGATTATGGTACATGGTTCATGAGCACCAGTCAGGCTCTCTACCAAGCTGCCTGACTCACCTGGTGAGAAG